TTTTTTTTTTTTTTTTTCAGGGGGGCCTCGAAGTGTTGGGAGAGAAAGTAGGAATGTTTCGTGCGTAACTTGTCCTGTCCTGTCTTCTTTCCTCTCTCCCCCAACACTCTCGGATATTTCATGACGGCTAAGGTCGTTCGCTTCGTGGGGTATAAGTTGTTTTTATTTTGGCGTAATCAAACGCTCCAGGCAATGGTGGGGGAAAAAAACAAAAAAAAAAAAAAAAAAAAAAAAAAAAAAAAAAAAACGCCAGCTCAAAATGCTGCAAAAGGCTCCGTCACAAGGGAAACAGTTCCATCCAATAAGTAGGAGAGCAGAGATGATACATGCTCGATTCTCCAATTTTAAACGCCTCAAGACCAGAACGTAAGAGATGTGGTGGTGTCATACATATATGTCAATATCATGTATCTTTTGGTTGGGTTTTTGTTTTGTTTTGTATTTTTGTCAGCGATAATCGAGTAAAAACATGGTTCGAAAGTAAGGTTGTTGTTTTTGTTGTAACAAGGGGCTCGCATAGTTTTTGTTTTGAGCGTGGGTCGGCTCTGATTATGAGGATGCTCGTCGGCGTTTCCAGTCCCGGACTTTGTCGAAGCTACCGGAGTAGTTCTCTAATTCACTTCTGGCCTGACCGGACAAAGCAGAGGCATTTGAAGAGACGCTGTGGAGAGAGGAGAGGGACGTTTGCGAGGAGGATGGAGTGAGGCCCTTCCAAGAAGCAGATAGCAATGATGGTGACGAGGTGTTAGGCTGGATATTATGTGGTGTTTCTTGGTGGTGTGTGGAGGAACTGGGGAACCTGTAGCCACCAAAATCTATGGCCAGACCCAGGTGTAGAGGCGATGGGTGTTGTACCTCCGCATGCTTGGAGGCCACCCATGGACTTTGGAGAGATGTCGATGTAGCGCCAGGAGAGGGAGAAGAAGGTTCGGAATCCGCAGCAACACAGCCATCCATTTCTGCCAGTCGACAGGCCTGGGAGCAATAAGCCCCTCCCAGCGTCTGTCTATCGCAGACCAAACAAAAGTCCAGTGACCAAGAAGTCGCCATTGGGTGTGCCGAGCTGCGAGCCAGAGAAAGGGCTAGCCTTGGTTTGTCTCTTGTCACCGGAGCTTCTCGTACGCTGGTATGTTTATATATATATATATATATATATATATATATATGGGATGTAGTAAGGGTTTTCGAATTGCGAATTGGAGGAAGGAATTACTAGCGAGCAGTCCTAGAAGAAGTATATTCGACAGAAGGTGAAATTCGAGGGAACGATGGCGTGAGTCACTCGGATGACGACGAGCTAGGAGGAATGATGTGCAGATGTCGTCGTCCAAGGGGGTGTTTGTACTAAGGATAGATACAGTTGTGAGGTTGGAGGACGTTCAAACAAAGCAAGCGAGAGTGATACTGTTGAGATGCTGGGAGTGCGAAGAATCGACGGGGAAGGAGAGAGATATATAGTGAGGGAGTAATAGTAATATAATAGTAATAAGATAAACAGACTATGAAGGGAAGGGAGGTGGCATGGATTATATTGTATTTGATATGTTCAGACAGGCACACAGACATACATTTGGGACAGGTGTTCAATGCAAAGCCTACAGACTGAGAGTTATATAGATGGAAGAAGAGTCACCATATCAGAACCAGGACGAGCACCACTCCATATATCCACAATCCACCAGCGTCGTTGTTTTTTTAGAGTCCTTCTTTAGGCTTTTTCTCCAATTTTCCTTCACCCATTCTTTTGCTTTTTCTGCGTGCTAAAAAAAAAAAAGCCAAAGGCTGACACCAGCCGATGCTGATTGGCCGGCGGGCCTGGCGCAGGGAAACCCTGGCGGCTGATCCAGGCTGCGGCGTATCGACCAATACCGCCCGTACCGTACTGTCCTGTACGCTGTGGGCAGGAATACCTGGGCCTGCTGCCGCGTCAAGGATCCAGCGCCCAAGCACACACCCAGCACCAGCACCAGCACACAGCGCCCAGCAACCTCAAGACTAAGGACAGGACTCAGCCGGTGCGTGGCCCCAAAAATTTCCTCAGTGAGACCAATGACGTGCGTCTCGCTGAAGGCCAACCCCAGGAGATGCTGTTGGTTCAGCCAATCCCAGCCAATCCCCCTCCCAGCGTGTACGATGTTCCCCCTCGCTTCCTGGCCGTCCCGTCGTGAGATGCCCTTGGCTGCGGATCCCGCATCGCAAACCTGGGCCGATTTGGTGTTGGCGTGGATCCTTACAGCAATCTAGAATGGTGTGTTTGGGCTACCTGCCGCCAGGGGGTTTCCTCTAGTATCATCTCTTATATACACAAGGTCGTCTGATTACGATCAAATTACGTATGGCACGGAACGAGGTCGGGAGAGGAAAACAAAAAGGTTCTTTTTGATGGAGCATGTTTGTTTGAGCATTTTCGTAGGCCCTCTTTCATCATCCATTCCCGCCCCGTCAAAGTTTTGAATTTTCTTCCTTGCCCTCTTTTCAAACAATGGGCGGGCGGGAAGATGTAAGCCACCATTTTCACTTTTTCCTGGCACCCACAAAAAGCATGGCAAAAACAAGAAAACAGAAAAGGAAAAAACATCAAAGTTACTACCAGGCGACAAGGTTCTGGTGAGGAGATGGGAGAATCGACGTACAGACACACTCCTCTTCGGTGACTCCGGTGAGGAAGGCCCATTCATCCAGGAACAACTCTAAAACACACAAGAGTCTCGGTTTCACCAGCCAGCTCCTGGAACTTCCCAGGTTTGTTCCAGGCACGGCCAGTATAATCTCGCTCCCAAAACAGCAACAAGGTACATGTACCCTTGGAAAACCGCTTCACCTGGAACAACTCATCGTCCAAGCGCTCATGTGTGTTTTCTTTCCCTTGCTCAAGGCCCCAATATTGTTTCAACAAAGCTTCAACTTTTTCCCGGGTGCTGTTGGGTAGGTATAGGCATGCATGCTCTCCACCTCTGGGATTCATACAAGCAATTCAATTCGACAACATTGGGCTGGAACTGTAGAAGTGGTTGGCCAATCCTTCATGCTGCCCCGCTACCCTTCTAC